TTGGCTTCCACCTAATAACTACAATCACTCTGCAGAAGTGTTCGTGATCTGAGACAAGGTTTAATTGTAGTTACGCCATATGGTAGGGCAGTGCTGGTGGGGTTGTCAATGGGCGTGTGTGCATGTTAGTTCAGGATCAACAATCACTGTCACCTCTCAACATTCTACGGTCAATTGACCTGCCAGAAATTAAACTAGCTAATATTTTGTATAATCTCCCCTTGATTCTAAAACTGCAGCCACCCTATCAGGCATTGATTTCTACAACTTCTCAAAAAGCTTCTCAGGAATTGTCTCCCAAACTAATAGTAATACATGTGCAAGTCTTCTCCTAACAGCCTCTTTGCCTCTTGGAGTATCTGCAATCCTTGGATACTGCTGGTGTAATCGCTTTTTAAGCTTAATCCATACATGCTCAATAGGATTTAAATCAGGAGAATAAGGGAAGTGGTCCACAGCCTCAATACTGTTTCTCTCCAACCAATCCATAACACTATATGCCTTGTGAACAGGAGCATTATCTTGCTGAAAAAGAATATCTTCAAGTTGTATACCAAAGAAAATTATTTGATGAATAACAGGAAAAAAATAATTTGTCAAAAGTTTAACCTACCTGGTCTTATTAATAGTTTGAGTAATAGGAACTAATGGCCCTTTTCTTTTACCCGAAAAGCACCCTCAAACCATAAGCGAGATTCCCTTATTCTTCTCCTTTAGGTGTACATAATCAGCCAATCACTTCTCTGCAGGTTCTGTGAATACCCATTGTTGCTTTGAATCCTTGGATTTCTCTACACTGCACTCATTACTCCAAATCACTCTTTCAAAATCCTTAGCTGTCCAGTCCCTATAAGCTGTAGCCCATCTCAATCTCTTAGCCACATGATCAGGCTTTAGCCTAGGTCTTGACTTGGCTATCCATTTTTTAATGTTTACTTCTCTGAGTACCCAGTCCACTATGTAGGCAAATTTAGTAGCCAATCATATCCAGTCACTCTGGGTAGCCCAAAGAGTTATCAGTATCAAGAGAAACACCAGGTGCATAGCGATCCCTGAAGGCGCATCTGGTCATTTTCCGGTTGGACTTGGCTGCCTGTATAATTGTTCAACGCTGTTGACCACTCAAAATGGGAGTGCAACCAGGGCAAGGGAGATTTTCAAGAGATCGGCATTCATATGCCCAGACAAGAAAGCTCTTAACTGTTGTCCATAGGCGTCTAATAATTTGTGCCACCAAGGTAATATTCCCGAGGCAGTAGAAAAAGGTGATTATCATACCCTTCTCTGCAAGGCTCATTTCTCTTCAGCTGGTTTTAGGTAAGGGTCTTTTTTTTTGCGGCATACTTCGTATTTCCAGAACGCTTAACCATTGGTAGAAAAGGTAGAGGAAATTAATAAATTAATTAATTAGGTAAAGGAGGCTTCAGTGTGTGTAAATTTGTGAATGGTCATGGTCATGATGGGGTGAACAGTCACGATCAACTTTACATGTTGTTGAAAGGTAGCATTTTAGTAAGGCAGCTTAGTCATCTGAGACCAGTTTCACAAACACTTCTACCGAGTGACTGTATATATGAACAATAATCTTATCATACAATTTTTATAAATTATTAATAAAACATTAATATTTAAAATATCTTTACAAACCACAACAGGTTTGTGATAATAGGCATGATAGTATACTACTAATATAATCTGTACAGGTGCTTGGTTAAGGACTATTATTTTATATTTTGTTTTTAGTATTATTTGATTCTTGGTTTAATTTATGTTTTATTTTAAGTATCATTTGATACTAGTTCTACTTTAAGTATCATTTAATATTTGATTTATTTTATATTATGTTTT